GCCGAGGCCACGGTGAATGCAGGACATTGTCTGTCGCGGCCGTCTCTGTCCTCGCCCGCCGCCCGCCACAGTCAACATGGGTGCAGAGCCCGGCGTCCCCGGTGGGGAACAGCGTGGTGGGAAAGCGGAACGTTTACGAGACGATAGATTTAAGAATGGCGCAGAGGTGCCGTTTCAAAACACAGAATCATTACCAACAAGGGAATAAAACCACGGTGCTTGGCATGAAGATCTCCTTCCTTGAAGATTCCATGTATTGCGGTAGTTGAAAAAGGCCAACTGTTACGGCGTAGTTTTGTCTTCAAGATCTCTTTAATTGGGATCTATGATAATTCATCTGAATATTCTTTAAGAATTTTAAGCAAATATATGTAAGATATGAAATAGCCTTGTTCTGGACAGTACAGCCTGTTTGTGTCTTAGTTTCCACATGTGTAAAAAGTCGACCCTGGACTGGTAGCTTTCCACGTTTGCTCAATTTGTTAAAATAACTCGGATTTTGATCCTCGACTTAGAATCCTGATATTTCCTCTGTAAGGGATCCCATCTCAAGACCTGGGAGTAGACGAGACCTTTTAAGAGCCCTGGAGGACATCGTAGTTCTCAGCTTGTCTTTGAAAATATGTGGGAGTTACTTAAGCAGGGCTGTAATCTTTCCGGGTGTAATTTTGGAGTAAAGGAAAATGAGAGCAGTAAAGAAATGTATGGAGATCAATCAGTTATTACTCCACGGTTTTCTTTCATCTTAAATAAGTTTTCCAGGTAATGAAATAGTATAATAAACTATAACCAACTTTCCTATTTTGTTCCTAGTATCAAAGGAATAGAAAATGGCAAAAGAGAGAATACACGCATGAAATAAAAGATGCACACACAAAAAAATCGAAAATGTTTGGAGAGTTTTGAGTAAAATTAAGTCGGTATTTGCCTTTTAAAAAAATTGAAGGGGGAAAATTATTGTAGAATGAAGAGCAGGCTTGTGTTGATATAGGTAATATTTTGTAGCTTCAGTTACATGCCCTCTCCAACATTAAAAAAAGTCAGTAATTTCATTTAACTGAGCAATCAACAAGAATTAGAGACTTGGAAATGACAAACAAATGAAAGAAGGAAAGCATCCAGAAAAGAAGATAAGTTTAATGGACATGATTTATTGTAGGAGACATGACCTCATTCCTCATTAGAGGGATGGAGGGATTTCCACGAAACCAGATTTGATGTTAAATAAATTTATTATACAGATGATACTAATTTGATTTGTCCCTCTCTTTTTTTGGTATTATAAAGTGAAGAGAAACAAGGAAATTTTTAAAAATATTGTAGCAGCTTCCTCAGATGACAATTGTTCCCAGCCTCCTCACTCTCACCCATCATAAAAAAGCAGCAGTCAGCGTAAAGAATAGCTCTCTCCAGAAGCGAAACAGGTAGCTGTGTGGATGTCTGCAGTGAATTCAGTTTTGATTATTTAAAATGTTAGCATTTAAATTGTTGATTTTTATAATTAAACAAATTTCACTTAAAAGTGATTGAATAAATGATTAAAATGTAAAGATGAAGCTGCAATTCAGATGTTTGTAATAAACACAAGCAGCAGGTAAGATGATACAGTCTGTAAGGTCCGAAAGTTCTCGCCAAATAAGTTTGAGACTCCCAGCAAGTCCTTTCCTTAGCAATCTTGCTTTGGTATTCGATATGTAACCATAGATTGATCTATATAGAGCGATAATATTTGTGGAACTTGGGATATGCCAAACACCATTCTCAGTTATTAGTCGATGTGAAGAGCAGGGTTTTCTTTCATCTTAAAGAAGTTTTCTAGGTGATGAAATAGTATAATAAAGAATAACCAACTTTCTTCTTGGATCCTCACAAAAATCCTAGGGGGCAGGTACAATGATTCCCCTTTTATTTATTTATTTTTTAAAATATAGTTTATTGATTTCTTACAGAGAGGAAAGGAGAGGGATAGAGAGTTAGAAACATCAATCAGCTGCCTCCTGCACACCCCCTACTGGGGATGTGCCTGCAACCAAGGTACATGCCCTTGACCGGAATCGAACCTGGGACCCTTGAGTCCGCAGGCCAATGCTCTATCCACTGAGCCAAACCTGTTAGGGCTAATTATCCCCATTTTAGAAGCATGGAAACTGAAGCTCTAGAAGTTAGGGAGCTTGCCCAAGGTCTGACAGTTGGTGGGTATAGAGCCAGGAATGGGGCCTAAAATCCTTTTTGACTCAACTCACAACGGTGTGGCTATGTGTTCTCAACCACTCACTAAACAAACTTACTTATTTTTATGGTTATGATGATTAACCCATTTTTGGCCAGATCTTTTTGACAGTTATGCATTTGAATATTTTTGCTATAGCCCTTTCATTCATGTATGCCGGGTGACTATGTGGATGCAAGATTGCCATCTGTGTTTATTTTGCTACAGAAAGTCAAGCATCCCTATCACCTGTTTTTTTTAAAGAAGCACCTGGCTTTTCCACCATCTTGGACCCTGTGGAGGCCTGCTGGGAACGGGTCTCCGGAACCAGAGGGAGCACACAGCTCTTCTTAAAATTGAAGGTGTTTACGCTCGAGATGAAACAGAATTCTGTCTAGGCAAGAGATGTGCTTATGTGTACAAAGCAAAGAACACCACAGTGACTCCTGGTGGCAAACCGAACAAAACCAGAGTCATCTGGGGAAGGAAACTCATGCTCATGGAACCAGTGGCATGGTTCGTGCTAAATTCCGAAGCAACCTTCCTGCTAAGGCTAGGGGACACAGAATCCATGTAATGTTGTACCCCTCAAGGGTTTAAACTTAACTGAAAATAAATAAAATGGATTTGTTAGATAAATAAATAAGAAGCATCTCTCAAATTTGCATCCACTGTTCTTTTTAAACATGGTATGTACATGGACAGAAGCACAAGGCTAAGTCCTCACCTTCTGCTTTTCTGTCTTTTTCTCTTTTCTTCTTTCAGATGTATCACTTCATAGGACCCCAATAATACCTATTGGCCGTGTTTACTGCCTCTAATTGGTGTCAGGCCCGGAAGAGGTACTGGTGCAGTCAGCCATTCAGTTATTGGCCGAATACTTACAAGTTGCCCAGTCCTTCAGATGGTGGAGAGGGGTGAGGAGTCATGAACGCAAGACAGGGATTTGGGGGTTCAGTAGCAAAAAACTGAGACAAAGGGCTGTGCCTTTCAGGGGAAAAATATTATATAATTTGCCTTTCTTCTTCACTCTGTACCTTTGGCTGAGAAGTGGCACACCTTCAATGACAATCAAGGGTAAAGGGTTGCTGCCCCTCCCATTTACCTTGGTCTTTTCTGGCATTGGTTCCACAGTCAGTGGCCATGAAGGTGGTCTTCTATAGCTCTGACAAAGGTGGGGGGCTGAGGGTAGTCAGTCTGAAATCGGTCCCCATCCTTGCTGGTTCACAGTGCCTGTTAAGAACCAGAAATAAAATTATTCTGAAGGGGATCATATGTGACTCATTAATCCATGTGATTTCTGATGCTCATTATCACTGAAAATTGAGTCGGCTAAGTCTGTTTAACTTTTGTGATTAAGGATTGGCATCAGGATTGATGTTCTGGCGGCCCAGAAGGATAAAAGGATTGCATTCAGCCGTCCTCCCACTCCCACCCGCACAGGGAGCTAGCACTTAGCGCTTTGTCCTTGGCCGGCAAGCAGCTCACCTCCGTCCGTGAAACACTGGCAGGCAAGCCACACAGCTGCACGGAGCATAGGACAGTATCAGGCAAGCCTGACCCACCGAGTCCCACTGTCATCAGGGGGTGACAGGCGAGGCTGCAGCAAGTCTGAACACCCAGAGAGGCAGGCCCAACTACAGACGGCCGCCAGGCCTCTTATTAGCTAGCGACTGCCTTTTCATCTTATTTTTACAAAATTCCATAATTGAGCTCTTATCACTTAATATTTCTCAAATCCAAATATTAAAGCATCTTCTAAATGTGTAAAAATATTTTCAGTCAGATCTTTTTTCTTGTTTGTTTGTTTGTTTCATTTATCTTTGTTCTAGGACTTAGTAGCACTCAACCGGTGGCCACTCTCTCTTCCTGGGCCCCAGCACACAACCAGATTCTGGTCATGCCGTCTTCTCTCTTCAACTCCTCAGCCTCAGCGTGCTGATGGCTTCCCACGGTTGCTGTCATGCCTTACCTTTCACTCTGCCCACACTTCTTAACAGGCTTTTCAAAAAGCCCCGATGAATGCGTCTTTCTTTCATCTTCTGATCATGTCTGCTTCAGACTCCATCATGATCTGGCGCCTACCCACACCTCGAGTTTGAGCGGTGGCCTTTCCCTTCTTCATCCTTTTTCTCTCACGCAGCAAACTCCTCTACCCCTACACTTTGACCCTCGAGTATGCTGTTCTTTCTGTCAGGAATATTCTGTGAGGACGTCCTTGGGCCCCTTCCCCATGGGCTGTGTCTGTAACTTCATTTACCACATTGTATTTGAAACACTGCTTTGCCCTTTCAAACCTAGAATTTCCTTGAGATCAAAGATCATGTCTTACCCATGGAAGGACTAATGTAAAAATATTTAAATATGTAACTGTCAAAAAGATCTGATCAAAAGTGGGTTAATGATTAACCCTGGCCAGTTTGGCTCAGTCGGCCTGCGGACTGAGGGGTCCCAGGTTGGATTCCGGTCAAGGGCATTTACCTTGGTTGCAGGCCCATCCCCAGTCGGGGGTGTGCAGGAGGCAGCTGATCAATGTTTCTCTCTCTTCGATGTTTCTAACTCTCTATCCTTTTCCCTTCCTCTCTGTAAAAAATCAATAAAAATATGTTTTAAAAAATGGATTAATGATCATATCTATAGAAATAAGTCTGTTTAGTGAGAACACATGGCCACTTGGCTTTGAGCAGAGTCAGACACAACGACACAACCTAGGACAGTGCTGAACACATGGAATAACATCATGAAATAATAGCTAAATATTTATTTATTTATGTATTTATGTATTTATTTATTTATTTATTTATTTATTTTGGAGAGAGGAAGGGAGAGGGGGAGATAGAAATGTCAATGATGTGAATCATTGCTTGGCTGCCTCTTGCACACCCCCTACTGGGAATCAAGCCCAAAACATGGGCATGTGCCCTGACTGGGAATTGAACCAGCCACCTCCTGGTGCATGGGACAGTGCTCCACCAACTGAGCCACACCAGCTGGGATAAATAATTTCAAAATGCTTTGTTCCCTCTATTGATTCTTTTTCTAGATCAGCTTTCTAGTTTTTCAAAATGTAATGGCTTCAAAATTGAAGTTTCACTTATTTCAATCTTGTCAGTGTTTACATCGATAAAATTATATTCTTTAATTAATATTGAATATTAACATGATAGCATGCTTTTACCAATAAAAGTTGAGTAAATTAATAATTTGCTCAAAAGTGAGTGAATTAATATTTTTGCTTCAAATGGTTAAAATCTAAGGTAATTTGATTTCTTTTATTAGTGGTGAAGTTGTGTGTGTGTGTGTGTGTGTGTGTGTGTATAGCAAATAATCATTTTTAAAATATTACTTTCCTTACATCAGAGTTGGCTTAGGAAAAGTAGTTATATGTTGTACTCTACTCCATAATAAGTAGATTTAACCGGGAAGTATCACTTTATGGTCTTCTGCCTGTAAATATAAAAACAAAGACAACACTGTAGCAGGCGTCTTTTCCTCAGCAGCTCCTCCGCCTGTGTTTCGGGCGGGTAGAGAAGGGGGAGGACAAGCTCGCTGGCCTCCCTGGCGTTTCTGGAGCTCTAGCAGAGACGTCTTCTGTAATTGGTTTTCCACATTTGCCAGGAGTCTGTTTCCTCTTAACATTCAACATGTTTAACAGAAGTCTTGTAATAGTTCCAAAAACAATAAAACTGGTCCCAAGCATAAAAATGATACCTACACAGCACATTGGTTTTCCGTCGTGGCTTTGGTTTTGTTAAGTTCTTTTAAATAATTTTTAGTGTCAAATCATGTGATAGAAATAAAAAGTTTTTCTTCACAGTAATAAAAGCCACTGAAGAAATGCAGGCAATGACCTGTGCGGAGGGTGAGAATTACCTGCACAGAGGCCAGCCCAGGACAGGGTAAGTGGAAGGTTGGGCTAACTTCAGTGCTGTATCCTCAGAAGGACAAAAGCTTATTCGGGGCATAGGCTTCTGATAGAGTGTCTGTAAGGCTGTGCTTACTCTGATGAAACCCACTTCTCACATTGTCAAACATTAACATGAAAAGGCAACGGGAGCTTATATTTTATCCAACCCTCCCTCCCATCACTCCTAAGACGGTGGTTACAGTGTCCCAACAATCAAATCTCTGCTTTAATAATTCAATGTTTGACAAGTGAAAACACTGAGTCTTCCTTTTAAATTATTACTTAATTAAAATATTAAGCCCTAACCAGTTTGGCTCAGTGGATAGAGCATCGGCCTGTGGACGGAATGGTCCCAGGTTCGATTCCGGTCAAGGGCATGTACCTTGGTTTCGGGCACATTCCCAGTGGGGGGTGTGCAGGAGGCAGCTGATTGATGTTTCTCTCTCATCAATGTTTCTAACTCTCTATCCCTCTCCCTTTCTCTCTGTAAAAAATCAATAGAATATATATTTTTAAAATATTATTTGGACTGTTAGAATTATTATGATGATTAAAGCATCTCTTTTTTCTTTAAATAATTTTTTATTTTCCAATTACAGTTAATATACAATATTATATTGGTTTTAGGTGTACAGCCCAGTGATTAGACATTGTATAACTTACTAAGTAATCATCCTGATAAATCTAGTACCCACCTGACACCAGGCATAGTTATTACAATATAATTGACTATATTCCCTATCCTGTATTTCACATCCCCATGACTGTTCTGTAACTACCAATTTGTAGTTCTTAATCCCTTCACCTTTTTTACCCATCCCTCTAGCCCCTTGCCATCTTAAAGAAGACCCTTGCCTGGCTGGTGTGTCTCTGTGGTTGAGGATCAACCTATGAACCAGGAGGTCATGGTTCGATTCCTGGTCAGAGCACATGCCAGATTGTGGGCTCAATCCCCAGTGGGGGGCGTGCAGGAGACAGCCAATCAGTGATTCTCTTTCATCATTGATGTTTCTATTTCTCCCTCTCCCTTTCTCTCTGAAATCAATAAAAATGTGTTTTTTGGTTTTTGGGTTTTTTTCAAAAGAAGACCCTTTAACATTTTTTGTAATACTGGTTTGGTGGTAATGAACTCCTTTAGCTCTTTCTTGTCTGGGAAACTCTTTATCTGTCCTTCTATTCTAAATGATAGCTTTGCTGGGTAGAGCAATCTTGGTTGTAGGTCCTTGCTATTCACCACTTTGGATATTTCTTGCCACTCCCTTCTGGCCTGCAAAGTTTCTATTGAGAAATCAGCTGACAGTCGTATGGGTGCTCCCTTGTAGGTAACTGACTGCTTTTAAGATTCTCTCTTTGTCTTTAATCTTTGGTATTTTAATTATGATGTGTCCTGGTGTGAGTCTCTTTGGGTTCATCTTGTTTGAGACTCCCTGTGCTTCTTGACTTGCATGTCTATTTTCTTCACTAGGTTAGGAAGTTTTCCATCATTATTTTTTCACATAGGTTTTCTTTTCTTTTTTTTTTAAATTGAATTCATTGGTGTGATATTGGTTAATACAATTATATAGATTTCAGGGATATAATTCTATAATACAGTATCTGTATATTATATTGTGTGTTCACCACCCCATAGGTTTCCAATTCTTTGCTCTCTCTCCTCCTTCCAGCACCCCCATAATGCAAATGTTGGAACACTTGAAGTTATCCCAGAGGTTCCTTAAACTA